GAAGAGCCAAGGATGGTACCACCTTCCCTCTGAGCTTAAAGCTGAAACCTAAGCCCAATAGCAAGGAGGCAGAAGCCGGCCAGGGGGCCCCTGAGCAAGGTTACTCAGCGTCCATCTGGGTGTTCTCCACCATCAGCGGCCTTATCACCCTCCTGTCGGACGGGACCATCTACGGCATCAATCACAGCTTTGCACTGATGCTGTTCGGTTATGGGAGGACGGAGCTCCTGGGCAAGGTGGGCTCTCCCTGCATGGCTGGCCACTCCCTGTGAGGAAGCTGGTCTGGGTCTCACAGTGAAGGTGTGCATTGGTCCCTGGCCCTGTGCATCCACGTCTTCCAGTCCGGCTGCTGGCTTCACTGGGGGCATGCGGGCTGAGAGGGATTTCTTGCTCATGGTACCACTTCCCTGCTTGATTTTTCTAGACCCCACTGAGCATTCTGACCCTCTGGACCATCTCCAGAGCCACCCCAGCAGAGGGAAGGAGCTCTTGCCTCAAAGCTTCATCCCTATCGAGTCTGGTCTAAGAGACTGGACCAGGGTGTGTGTCACAGCTGTGGGCATTTGCTCTGAACCCTCAGGTCAGGGCTTGTCTGCTTCTCCCCTGACAGCCCTGGGGATTATTGGGGAAGTCTGCTGTTCAAAGGAAGGTATTTCTGTGACCTTCTTCCTTGGTTGAGCTTTTTTTTCAGTTCTTTACACATGGGAGGTAGAAGTCTCCACACACCAGGGGCCAGGCTCCAGGGGTGCTGACTACCCCTTTTTTCTTACCAAGACTACTGAGTGGTCCTGTGCCAGTTATTGCAAAAAACCTCCTCAAACTTAGTGCCCAAGTGACAATCATGTGTTCTGGTCATAAATCGGTCCTTTGAGCTGAATTGTAAGTGGAACAGCCATTCTATTCCATGTGGTGTTGGCTAGGGGTGATGTCCTCCCTGGGCTCATGGTTCAGTTGAAGTTAATGGAGACTTAGTTGGCATGATTTTTGGACAAGGGATTTCACGGGAGTGTTGAGGACAGCAGGTCCCTTCAGGGAGGGTGTGTGTGGGTAAGAGCATGTTCTGGATTCACGTGACCAAGGGCAGCCCGGGAGTCAGGGCCACATGCAGACCAGAGAAGGTGTCTGTCCTTGCAGTTCTGGGCCCAGGACTCTCACACTGGGGCCATGGTTGGTGCAGCACAGGCCCCTGCTAGATTCTGGGGGTCAGTATCCTACTGCCCGAGGCCCTTTGTCCTTTTATGCCAGGACATTGGAGTAGGAAGCTTGTAAACATGGGCTCCCAGGCCTGAGGAGAACATGGGGCAAATTCAGAAAATGTGTAGATATCTGAATAATTAGCTTCAGAGTGTGTTAGTTTTCTCTTTACACAAGAAAAAGGCAAAAAGTCATGAATTCCATGTTGAGCATTAGAGGATTTCAGGCCTTTCAGGGAAATCTGACTCGGTCTCCCTCACCTGGAGGAATGATACCCCAGAGACTGGGCACCTTGTTTCCATGCCCCCCTCCCCCCCAGAAGGGATGGTGGGTGGTGCAGCAGGTCTGGATTCTCTCCTGTTCTGAGCACTGCTGTTTGTTTTCCAGAACATCACTTTCCTGATCCCTGGTTTTTACCGTTGCATGGACCTTGTAAATGAGGGCTCCTTACCACTGCCAGACCTGGTCAGCCGCCTGGACATGGGAAACCGGAGTGAGCCTGGGGAAACGACCGTGGACCCCCTGCAGGGCTGGAGCACGGCTGAGGGTGAGCCTGGGGTCTCCTCCAAGGAGCCTGCCTGAACCTCCACTGGGGACAGGAGGGAGCTGGGGCTTGGGTGTGTCAGGTGGGAGGGGGAGAGATTGGGGATTGTGTGTGTGTGTGGATTCTGTGTTCCTCTGTTTCTGATGGGCCTTCAGTGTTTCCTGGGGACAGGACATGTGTATCCCACTAATGTGTTAGCAGAGAAAGGACCAGAACTTCCCCACGTGCCTGTCATAAGTTCCCACAGGCCTGTATATATGATGCCATAGCTAATTGTCTTTTGTAAATAAGTCTCTGTAGCTTTATGTAGTTTGAGGTCTGATGTAGCATATCAAGTTAACCTGATGTAAAACAATCACTGTAGGATTTCTTTATCTTGTTAATTACTGCATTTTTTATAAAAAAATCCTCACCCAAGGAGTGAGGATATTTTTTTGAGGATATATTCATTGATTTTATAGAGCGTGGAAGGGAGGAGGGAAGGGGAAAGGGAGAAAGAGGGGAGAGAGAGATAGAAAAAAAGATTGATGTGACAAAGACACATTGGTTGGTTGCCTTCTACACACACCCCGACTGGAGGGCGGGGATTGGATCTGCAACCCAGGTACGAGCCCTTGACCAGGAATCGAGCCCTCTAACCATTGAGAATATTGGCCAGGGCAATCACTGTGCTTTTAATTTTTTTTTCAATTCTCACCTGAGGACGTGCTTGTTGATTTTAGAGAGAGGGGATGGGAGAGAGAGAGGAACGATTGATGTGAGAAAGAAACATTGATTTGGCTTCCCATAGGTGCTCTGACTGGGGATCAAACCCACAATCTAGGTCTATGCCCTGACCAAGAATTCAACCCACAAACTTTCAGTATACGGGACGATGCTCTAACCAACCGAGCCACACTGACCAACGCCCCTGTACTTTTATTTTTAACATTTAAAAAAATATATTTTTTTATTGATTTCAGAGAGTAAAGGAGAAGGGAGAGAGGGATAGAAACATCAGTGATGAGAGAGAATCATTGATCAGCTGCCTCCTGCATACCCCACACTGGGGATTGAGTCCACAACCCAGGCACGTGCCCTGACTGGGAATAGAACTGTGACCTCCTGGTTCATAGGTCAATGCTCAACCACTGAGTCATGCTGGCTGGGCTAATTTAACATTTAAGATTACTCCCACACCTGCCCCGAGTCACACTCTATGGCTTTGTGAGTGTCCAGTGAGGACTAAGCTCACGGCTCCTGCCCTGAGTGATTCCTACCGTGGAGCTCAGGGCTATGGCAGCAGCTCTAGCTCTAGTTGAATGGGGAAGGAGTAGGGCACTCTGAAGCCTCCTGGGTGCTCATCTTCCCTTGACAAGGAGCAAGGAGTTGTACCCCACACACTCCCTGGCAGCCTTCTCACTGCCCTCAGTGGGCAGGCGGGCTGGGTGCAGTTCTGGAAGGCTAGCAGGAGTCAGGTCACAGGGCTGTGTGGTCATCTTAGGGATGGTGTCTTTTATCCTGAGTCAGAGTGGAGCCCTTGGAGGGCTGTGGGCCGATGAGGGACCTGATCCAACTGTGGTGTTAGTGAGATCATGCTGGCCAAGTGCAGGGCCCAGGGCAATACAACAGGGTGGGCAGAGGATGCTGGCCTGGACTGGGTGTCTGTGAGGTGGCTAGAGGTGACCGGATCTGGGACAGGCTTTGAACGTGGGGCAGATAGAGTTTAGTAGATCAGGTTATCTCCTGTTCCCTCATGCCCTTGAGTCACTGGGAAATGAAGAGCTTTGTCTCAGCAGGGTTGCTTGCAAATGGAAAACATTTTTTTCTGCTGTTGTTGCTAGATCCAGGGGTTAATGTCATGCTCGCTGTTGACCACATGCTGCCCCTAGACAGGACCCCAAAGCCAGCGGGAAGCCAAGAAGTTGTCACAGGGATCCAGACCCAAGTGGACACTGGAGTCCGGCTCCCTTCTCCCCTCTCATCTCTGCCCACTCTGGGGTAAGTCCTCTGGAAGGTGCAGGTTACTTGGTGCTCCCTAGCAGCCTCTGTGTGATTACCCGCATTTTACCTGGAAGGAAACATTTAGGTAGGTTTCAGGTAACTGATATGAGCACAGTTTTCTCATTTTAAAACTTATATGAATCTGTTCTCTTTGTGTGTGTTAAGTAACAAAGTATTTTATTTAAAGAAAATACGTATTAGGGAATTTGGTAAAATGAGAAACGTAGAAATAAAAAATGCCCCTTTCAGTTACCACATCCTATTGTGCATAGCATTTTGGTGTGTTTCAACCAGTTTTATCCTTAAAAATCTGATGCGTAGCACACAGTAATGCGCCACACAAGGGTGTGCGTGTGCCTGGCCTTTCTGCTCTGCCCAGGACTCAGTGCCCTCAGTGCCTTAGGGCCTGGATGCAGGTCATAGGGCTGCCTTTGAACTTGACCTATGCATTCCCTATGTCTTATTTCTCTTGCTCATTGTTGTGTCTGGGAGATTTATCCACATTGTTGTGTTTTCCAGTCTTAAAATTATTTCAAAAATATGTAATATGTGAATGAATGTGTGCTTTTCGAAAGTACAGAAGAATAATGGTAAAAAGCAAATGTTCAGTGACTATCTCCCAATCTTTCCGAGAGGGAACCACTGTCAGCAGTTGTATTCTTCTAGACCAGTGGTCGGCAAACTCATTAGTCAACAGAGCCAAATATCAACAGTACAACGATTAAAATTTCTTTTGAGAGCCACATTTTTTAAACTTAAACTATATAGGTAGGTACATTGTTATGAACTTAATTAGGGTACTCTTAAGGCTTAGGAAGAGCCACACTCAAGGGGCCTAAGAGCCCCATGTGGCTTGCAAGCCGCAGTTTGCCAACCACTGTTCTAGACCATTTCCCTGTGCACTTAAATATAATATACTAAAGGCCCAGTGCATGAAATCGTGCATGGGTAGGGTCCCTAGGCCTAGCCTGTGATCAGGGCTCTCTTCCACCCACTAGCCAGTCCCCAGTGCTGCCCTGCCGGTTCCTTCCCCGTGGTTTTCCGTTTGCCAGATTGGAGCCTGCGGGCCACGGGGAGGGACCAAGAGGTCTGCCTTTGGCCTGCTTGCCAGTCCCCAGTCCCGCTCTGCCGCCAACCACCCTGGTTCCCCCGTGGTTCCCCGTTGGTCATCCAGCAGTCAGAGCCTGTGGGCTGTGGGGAGGGACCGATTGGAGGTCAATGCACCTCATAGTGACTGGTCGATCGGTCGTTCTGGTTGTTCTGGTCGCTGGCCTTTTATTATATAGGATTATACATGTGTGCTCGTATAAAGCTGCCCTGTTCCTTTAATAGATCACTCTGTGCATGTTGTGCTCCCTGTGCGCATGCACACACGCACACACGCACTCATGTACACAAATAGGGTCACACTGTACATGTTGTCTTCCGTGTATACGTGCACACATGCACACACTTGTGTGTGTCTTGAAGATTTTTCTCTGTGGTGCTGCCTCAGAACCAGCTTTCTATGTAACACCAGAGTTCAGGTCGATGTTTTCTTGTTGATAAAGTGTTCCAGCTGTTTCCTGTCCTTTGCTTAGGCTCCCTGGCTTCTTCTACCTTAACTGTGGTGTCCACTCTTGGTGTTTTTTTTTTAATTAAATCTTTATTGTTCAGATTATTACAGTTGTTCCTCTTTTTTCCCCCCATAGCTCCCCTCCACCTGGTTCCCACCCCACCCTCTGCCCTTACCCCCCACACTGTCCTCATCCAAGGTGCACGATTTTTGTC